GGATGGCTTCGTGACCTTCTTTCAGGCCCTAGCCAGGAAACCGTGGAATTTGACAGCTACGTTCAATGAGATGGCAGACGCGTCTGTTGCTCTCTTAAAACTGGCTATAATCGGTATGGTGGTAGTGGCTGTGTTGTCGTGACAATACTTATAATTTCTGTTGGCATTTATGCAGCAAGGAAATTGCTCTCAGGGGAGGGGTTGGAAGGTTGAAAGAGACGATATTCAAAGTCGTGTTTGCTTGCTGCGAGTCTGGAGTCCTGAGCTAGGCTCACGTTCTTGCTTTTCTGGATGTTTAGTCCTGAATTGTTTAAGCCTGGGAGTGTAAGGTGTTTCGTGCCATTCAATAGGTATTTAAGGGCTAGGGCTTGCTGTCTCGTTGAAGAAGTAAGATAATATAAGTTGCGTACCACAGCTTCAACTTTTTCTGCTATGCTACAAGGCAATGACAATGATAAGAAATATGACTCCAATATATGTAAACCTCATTGCCTTCGGTCCTATACACCTTGGGATCGAGCTTGGACGACCTCCCATTCAGCTACTGATATATAGACAAAGCGCAAGTCCAGCATAAAGGAACGAGAAGCCAGAATTTCTGTAGAGATATCGCCTCACAATTGAAGGAGTCTCGATCTGGGGGATGTCTCTGGTAGGAACTCTTTGAAGGCGAACCCGTTAACACTGGACTTCCTAATGTCCTTGTTGTCTTGTTGCAGCCATAGTGGCATGGATATTTGATTGAGGACAGGTGATGCCTCGACAGCTTCGGGGCTTATAATTTTCTGGTCGGTATTGCTGCAGTTCCATGGATTTGGGCACAGATAACTAAGGCACGAGAGGTGTTTTACGGTGTCCCTCGTTCTGTCGGCTCCCTTTTGGGATGTTCCGTCCATAACTTAAGTAGTCGGAATTGCTCAATGCTCTAGATAGATCTCGGTCATCTATCTGACTCCGATCTCAAGGCCTAGCAAAATGTCTTCAAATGGACAATGGCCTCCTTACCCGAACTTAGAACTGGGACAGCCTCGGGAGGATAGTAGACTAGGAGACACTAGCAGCCTTTAGCAACAGCAGACACGGCATTGCTGCTGCGTCTCGGATCCTCTTTATTGTTGCGGCTTCCGCTTTAAGAAAAATGATTTCTGCAAAATATGTCTGGTTCCGTTTCTAAGAATTCTATTTTCTCGTTCTTTGCCATGATCACCATACTCTGTATTGTATTTGATGGAGACTGAGGAAACCTGGACACTTAAATGGTTCTGGATGGCTGTGGTCATTGATTGAACAGCTTTGTTCGCTCGCTATACTTTGCTACTGAGCGTAACCACTTGCTTTGATTGTTGCAAGTTTTAGTGAATAATGCTCGGGTCCAGGAATCTGCGCTATAAAGAAACCAGAAGGAAAGTTGCATTCACTACCCCAAGTCACTATGATTGTGGTAAATCTTATGTCAACATATCACCATGTCTTTCAATGTGGGTGTTTACTCCCTGTCCTTTACACTTCCATTCATTCTCCCGACTGTCCGACACTATCGTTCTAATACATATATATACCTCGAGTTTCTGCACTCTACCTACGCTTAAGACAAAGCAAAATGCATTCCTCCTCAGCCAACTCAAGGGAATCAGGGATTCTTAAAAACAAGCGCTGACGTCCTGCTGTACCAGCAATAAGTGTACAGACTGTAGTTGCGGAGTATTAGCGTAGCTGCGATGCTGTTGATGCTCGCGATGGAGTTTGACCCTGCCATAATTACATTTTGACAATATTACAAGTAAGCGTTCTACCACCTTCATGCGCAAAGCCGCTGGTGAGGACTGACCCGTGAAGACGCTGTCAGTTTGCTAGAAGGAAACAATTGCTCTGTGTGTTCTTCTGGGTGCTGAAGTTGTCGCCATGTCTTGATTCAAGCTTAAACCTCGGGTCCAAAGGCATGAGGTCGAACTGAAAACGGTAGGGGAAACGTGACTTCTCATTTCTCATCTTACGATCTAAAAATGTTCGGAAAGTTTGCACAGGTTGGAGTTGCTAGTACTAAGCATTGCAAAAGGCCGAGAGGGAGACATCAGGTTGTGACATTTGAGCATGATTTCACAGTTGGATGTGGTCGTGTCTCAGCATGGTATAAGGTAAACCCGAAGTCCTTTCACTTTTGACCAAAAGTAATGAGATATTTCTGACAGTCCTGAAACATCTGAAGATCAAGAGCTTCTTACTTCACTCTGATGGGATAATATTATTCCATTTTGCATTCACTTCATCTGAGACCAACTCGAAGATTTGCTCCTCTCAGTAGAGCATCTCAACTGGGGACTGTGTTGCTGCACATACCTATCTATCATCTTACACACTCTCCATTGTTTCAGTCTATATCCTCTTACCCGCATTTCTAGTTACATACACATTACCTGAATCTCGGCTTGATGGCGGGCGGTATTTGGATGGGCAAATAACTATAAGGACTTCAGGTATGTTATCCTTTGGAAAAGCCTTATACTCTGTTCATTGTCCCGTTGCATGCTCTCAGCATTCATAAATAGAGCCTTCTCATTCTCGAATCAACCTTACACATCTTACGCTTGGCAGTTCCCTCCCATATACACTCGATACCCGAAGCTCCCCTTTCATCATGGCGTATACACTGCAAAGACTAGAACAAGCTATTGAGCTTTTCCGGAGCCCGAGCGCCAGATTGGTTGGAACCCTTGCTGACGAATGCAAGTACTCTTTACGGACCCGGCGCTCGAAGGGCAAACAGGTCATCCCATCGTGCTGGCTTGACGACGACAGTGATAGCGACTATAGCCCGGGGCACGAAACGTCGGATTCTAAGCGAAAGCGTGCATCCCGCACAGAAGACTCAACTCGACCGAAAAAGCAAGCTCGGAGCCCGGAACAATTGATTGTCATCATGGTCTTGAAATCAATAACTGGAAGGGCATTCCTTGCTGCTCTTCCCATGTCCGAGGCAGACATCCCAGCTGAAGATGATGAGCAGTTGATGCAGTACTGGAATATAGCCGACTGCACGGTTGAATCGGCATCGAACTCGCGGTATTCGCTCCGGAAGCGAGAAAGCCCGCAAGAGGGCAACGACCGGCTCGTAGATCTGGATGAAGCAGCAGCCAAGGGGTGTTGGGCGTGTCGCAAGATCCATCAAGACTGTTCACTCCTCGAACATCAGTTTGCATATCCTTGCCAGACCTGCAAGGAGGACAACATCGACTGCGAGCTGATCATCACTCCGAAGTGGAAAAGAGCCTGTGAGAGATGCAGACGCTCAGGAAGGACATGCTCCTACAGCTACGGCGAAACCGACCACAGTGTATCTTGTGAGCAATGTCAAGCAACGGGAATTCCCTGTATCGCCGGCCCAGCAAAGAGCAAACCGCCGCTGGAGCCAAGGACGAAGGCAGAGAAAGGCGAGAGATGTGCAGGCTCTGGTGACTCTGGGCCCATTTGGGACACAATCCCCCCTCTTCCTGCAAATGACGAGCCCGACGACCCGGTTTCCTTCACATCAACCCCGAAGAACTGCGGCAGTCGAATTATCCACACGTCCTTGGCCCATCCGGTAGACTTCGCCTATGAGCCACCAACAGACGGCACGAACCCTTGTCACTGGTGTATCAATTTCGTGTACGGAATCATGGGACTGGGTAGAAAGGCCGTCGAAGTCATCGATTTCGGTGATGGGAGGTATATTGAAATAAATGGAGGAAATGTCAAAGATGGTCACGAGCCCAGTCGAATGTGCGTCACCTGTGCATTGGAGAGAATCCATATCGTGAACTGCTCACGTCACTGCATTGTCCCCCTCAAAGGATACAAAGTTGACACCTTCGACTTCGACGCTGCCTATAACAGCTTGATCCCGATTCCAGGACAGCCACGGAAACCGATCAACCCGTGGTGTTCTCTCTGCCCCAATCCAGCATTTTTCGGCTGCAACACTCTTCAGCTTGTGAACAAATACCAGGAGCCCGTCGCACCAACCTCACCCCATGCGCGAGGATGCGGCTTATTGCTTTGTGAACGCTGCGAGTTGTTGATGCGAGCCTACCGTGGGAATCTGGCCAAGGTGGTTGCCAAAAACGACCAGGCAAATGCAGAGTTTGGGAGTCGTGCCGATGTTGTATATATTCTGCCTGGGAATGACCTTTATCGCTTCTATACCAAAGCGTGAAGATGATTGAAGAATGTGGAAAAAGAGGTGGAAGCAGATGGAAAGGGAACAAGCTGTAACTAGGATGATTAGTACCTTGGTGACTCGACTACTTTAACCACAGCAAAGGAAGTTGAATTAGCCTCAAGATCTTGTCTTACCCACAGTACATGGCAATATCGAAAGATACAGGCTTACTCGTCAGCTTAGTCGAAATATTCATGATTGTGCTGTCTTTCGTCGTCTTCTATAGTAAGCAAACTATCAATATGAGTGGTGGTGACGGTCAACATTCTGAGTCAGTCAATGGCTGGCACAATAGAGACCATCATCATCATCATGAATCAATCTTCATCTATTTCTTCTATTGTTATTCTTCTTATTCTGCATCAGCTGAAGAACACGATAGGGGAGGCCAGAGACTCGAGACGAACACGATGAGATAATACCTCTCATCTGCAGCCATCTCCTGCTCTGCCTCTTTCTTTCCTGGTTTGCTCGCAAGACGAATCAACTTCACCCTACACCCTCTCCTGACTTCAACAAATACCTTGATGCGGAAGGAAGAATATTCAAAGAAGACTTGCCAATAAAATCGAGAGTGGATCAGATTCAACCCTATCCAGACTCCGCCTTTTAGCTTCAATCCCCACAGTGCCTTTTTTTTCGCCTCAACCACTCAGCAGTGACTGGCGACCGGGACGGACTGACTAAACGACGACTCCCGCCTGGACGGTCGTCGGATTTTCTTTTCGATTCATTTCTTTTCCTCCCCTCACTTGGCGGGTTTTCTTGCCCTTGGTATTTTTTTTTATAAACTCGTTTTTATATGCTGGTTTATTTTTAAAATACTAGTTAGGTCATTATCATCAAATCATCAGCTACTGGCCTGTCTTTTCAATCCACCATTTATCGTGTTACCCAGAGCTGCCACGAGACGTGCGCAGCTCACCGTCACGACGTCTTCCACAAAGCGCCGTAAGGTTGCAGAGCCTCGCAGACCAGGAGGAGCCCTGCCGGGTTTGTCGTTTGCCTCGCAGGCTGGAAGACGTCACAGTCAGCACCCCCATTCCGACTCGTCTTCCGTGCCACCGAATCCTCGCCCATCGTCTACGTCCGGGTCGAACCGAAGTCAAAGCCCTTCTGTGTCTCCGTCTCCTCGCTATATTCCCGCCCATTTGCAGGAAGAAGTGCTTGGCACCGCCGCCCGCTCCCCGACCTCGGAATCCGCCAGTACCGCCGACTATCCTTCGATCGCCTGCGCAGGACTCACCCTACACAGCGACGCTATGACGGATATGTCTGGTTCCGACAAAGGAGATGGCAGCGTTCCGCCTCCTGGAGGTGACGTTCGGTCATCCTCCCCTGGTATCAAACGGTCGGCTCCTAACGCCGACCAGGATGTGGAGATGGATCTAGGTTCGACGGAGAAGAGATCTGTTTCTCTGTCCCAGCACACAGACGTGATGGATACGACTACGGCGGAGGGGAGCTCGAACGGCAACGGTGACAACTCTGGGTCAGATAACGTCTATCCCACACCATCCAGCATGTCAACCTTTACCTCCTCCACGGCGACCCGAAAGGAATCCAAGGCTCAAGCCTCCAGCTCGTCCCACGATCTCCCTCCCATCGACGATCAGGTCGCTCAAGTGACCTGCACCATGGCCCAGCCGTTGAAGGAGAAACAGAAGGGATATCTCGTGTCCATGTCTTGGTTGAAGCGGGTGCTCGCTCGCAGCTCGACCCACGCCGACAAGGCCGATAAGTCGGCAGCTGAAGGAGAAATTGGACCCGTGGATAACTCAGACCTTGTGCTGGTCACTGACCCGGCGATTACCGGCTTCCATGATGAGGCAGGAGAGCCCTTTGTGCCCTTGCGTCCAGGTCTGCAGATGGGAGAGGACTTTGAGATAGTGCCCCAGGAAGGCTGGGACCTGATCATGCGATGGTACGGCTTGGCTAGTCAATCGCCAGCCATTGTTCGCTATGCTCATAACACCGTGGAGGAAGGTGATACTGAAAATATTCAATACGAGCTTCATCCTCCAATCTTCACCGTTCTGAAGCTAGCAAACCCGGCAGCGGGGACCACTCCACAGAGTCTAAGAGAGAAGAATATGCCACCTGCAAAGGTCTTGTCCAGCCGACACACCAACTTCCAAAAGTGGCTGAAGCAAGTGAAGGGACTGGCCAATATTGACATGTCTACCAAGGTCCGTGTATGGAGAATTCTCGGGGGACTGGGAAGTGCGACGGCTTCGGCTGCAATCACACCCGCTGCGTCACGGAGCGCTTCTCCGGCACCTACGGCCTCCCTGGTTGCCAATGCCGGCAACAACCTTGTACTTGACCTCAACACCTTCCTCTCGTTATCGGACGGCGCTCAGCGAGAACTGGTCGACAACGTCAAGGATCAAACCAATAATCCCAATTTCAACGGTCGATCTACCTTGGATCGTGTTGGCTTGTCTACCAGTGATGTTGTGGTACTTGAGGAGCGCGTTGGTGGAGAGTGGGCTTCAGAAGTGTCCAAAAAGACCCTCGATCGCCTAGGTGTCCCGAGTGGCAGTATGAAGAATGGCGTTCCTGCCAAGCTCAAGAACAAAAGTCCTACCAACAGTGGTAGATCATCGCCCGCCCCAGAGCCTATTAGGGGCCGGCGTAAAGACGGAAAGCCCAGGGGCTGCACGGGATTGAGCAACCTCGGAAACACCTGCTACATGAACTCTGCTCTACAGTGCGTGCGCAGTGTGGAGGAACTGACATACTACTTCCTGAGTAAGGACTCTCACCTTTTCCTTTGGCCCGTGGCTGTTATCTCACTGACCGTTTTCGGTAGACGATGTGTATAAGAAAGATCTCAACCCCAGTAATCCTCTCGCCCATAACGGTGATATAGCCAAGGCGTATGCGAACCTTCTTCGTATGATCTACGACGAAGCGGGTCAGTCGTCGTTCGCTCCCCGCCAGTTTAAACATACCATTGGTCGTTACGGTCCTGCATTCTCGGGATACGGGCAACAGGATTCGCAGGAATTTCTGCTGTTCCTGCTGGATGGGCTACAAGAAGATTTGAACAGAATACAGAAGAAGCCATATATCGAGAAGCCAGACTCCACGGACGACATGGTCCACGACAAGAAGGCTCTCAAAGAGTTTGCCAATAAATGCTGGGACATTTACAAAGCCCGCAATGACTCGGTCATCACGGATCTTTTTGCCGGCATGTACAAGTCAACACTTGTCTGCCCTGTCTGCGAGAAGGTCAGCATCATCTTTGATCCATTCAACAATCTGACGCTTCAGCTTCCGATCGAGAATCTTTGGAGCAAGGAGATCTTCTTTTTCCCCCTCCACCGCAAGCCTGTCATCGTTGACGTGGAGATTGATAAAAACGCCAGCATCAAGGCGCTCAAGGAGTTAGTGGCCAAGAAGATGGGCTCCGATCCTCAGCGTCTCGTCATGGCCGAAATCTACAAGTGCAAATTCTACAAGATGTTCGACAACTCTGCGTCCATTGCTGATTGCCAGATCGGCCAAGGCGACGACATCGCAATCTTTGAGGTGGAGTCTGTACCTACCAACTATAATCCCGACAAGCGCCAGAAGAGTTACTTTTCTTATGGTCGTTCAGACTATGAAGAAATTCCTAGCTTTGACTCACCCAAGGCAGACCGAATGCTTGTGCCCATCTTCAATCGGCATTGCCGGCCAAAGTCGAATAACAGCGGGAATAAGCAGCGGTCGCTCTTCGGCGCTCCTTTGTATGTAGTCATCAGCAGAGAAGAGGCTCAAGATTACGATGCCATCCTCCACAAAGTTCTTGAAGCTGTTGCCACGTTGACAACGCGAGACATTCTCAATGAGGAGAACATCAAGAAAGCTGACGAGCAAGGGGGGACTCAAGAGGATTCGGATACCGTTGTGATGAATGAGGATGACGCGCAATCTGCAGATTCTAAAATCAAGACATCATCTGTGGACGGTGAGGATGGTTTGGTGGACGTATCCATGCGCGACGCTTCCGACGAGATGGATAGTCCATCTTCGCAAGACACCAAGCGTGAAAATGCTGTCTTGGGCCCTGACAGCTCTATTGCACCTGGCCTCCGGAGCCTCTTCGACATGAAGATTATCAAATCGTCCCACGAGGTTGTGCCTCTCGGCTGGTCTTCAGTGGATGATATCAAAGACTATCCATTGATGTCGTCCAGAGTCAAAGCACTGTCGTCTAGCAAACAGAAGAAGGTAAACACCCGCGAAGATATATTTACCAGACAAGACAGGCAATCTGACAATTGTGTAAATTTGCAGACAACGTCCAGTTCAGTGACCGAGCGAAAGAACAGTGATGACTCGGATCAGGATGGAAGCGCCGGCAGTGCTTCTGACAGTGACTCTGACATGTTCTCCAACGTCAGTCGCCCTAAGGCTGTACAGACCCAAACCGACGAGCGTCCTCTGATCCGCCCGGGCGAAGGTATCGTGCTGGATTGGAACGATCAAGCCCACGATGCCCTATTTGGTGGGGATAAAAAGGACACTGACGGGCTACGTGGTACTCCTACATGGACCAACGTGGAGCGCATTCCAGATCCGGAACTCGCCAAACGCCGTGATCTTCGTCGGAGCCGGAAGAAGAGGGGCGTTACGCTCTACGAATGTCTTGATGAGTTCAACAAAGAGGAGATTCTTTCCGAGAATGATGCATGGTACTGCCCTCGCTGCAAAGAGCATCGCAGAGCCAGCAAGAAGTTCGAATTGTGGAAGACTCCCGACATCCTTGTCATGCACCTGAAGAGATTCAGCGCCAGCAGGGGTTTCAGGGACAAGCTAGATGTCCTGGTCGACTTCCCCGTTGAAGAGCTGGACATGAGCGACCGTGTCGAAGCGCCTGAAGAGGGAAAGAGCCTAATCTATGATCTCTTCGCGGTTGATAACCACTACGGTGGATTAGGAGGCGGTCACTATACGGCCTATGCGAAGAACTTTATGAGTGGCGAATGGAACGAGTACAACGGTAAGAACCTTCTGTGACCGCGTTCCTTCAAGAATAACCGTGTTTACTGACGGGAACTGGTAGATTCGTCCGTCTCACGACCAATTGATCCCCAAAGTGTGGTGACTCCCGCCGCGTATTTATTGTTTTACCGTCGGCGTTCAGACCGCCCGCTGGGCGGGAAGATCTTGGAGGAAATCGCCGAGTCGTCAACTCGACCAGCCAGCGAGGACAACTCCCCGGCTGGGTCCCGTGGGCAGTCGCCGTCGGGGAACGGGCGGCGTCTCGGCGGCTCCTCCCGCAATGGGTCGTCGAGCGCCTTAGCCGGAGTCGGAGCAGCTCACCAAGCGGGAGATGGTGGTTTGCGAACCGGAATCCGGGCGAGGAATGAGGACAGTGATGACGATGATGAATCTCCCCCTGACTATTCGGACAGCCCAGCCGCTGGCGAGCAGAGCCTTGCGAAAGCAAACCGACTGGAAGGTATGAGCTTTGATGAAGACGAGTTCGGCGATGGAGCCTATGCCAACCCGCTCCCCTACTCAAGCCAGCCCACGTGGTCCTTCGACCGAGTCACAGATGCTCATGGCCTTTCACAGATGACCACAGTACCTCCGGGATCCATCTCTGATGACGAGGATTTGTTCGACGACGATGCCAGCAACAAAGCGGTGGGCGGGGGAGATCTCAGCGACTCCGACTTGCGCCTCGCCGCATTGACCGGAAGCCCAATCGGTCAGGGAGTGTTCCCAGGCACGCCCATGGAGGAGGAAGCTCCGATCCAGGACATCCCTCCGCCACTAGACGGTGATGACGATGAAGATTTACCCGTGGTGGAGCTACGGGTGAATGATGATGACCAGATCGTCTCGGACTGAGCGAAAGCCGGCTTGGTCAAGTACTGAGGCGATCATCGCGAAAGAAATACGGCTGTTGCATGGCTGACGACTACTGTGATGAAGTCGACGACCAGTATCTTTCTCTGGTTTGGTGAGGAGCGATATCTGCATCGCTTTTCCTCAGTCAGCCATTCGTGATGTTTATACATAATTATTGTAAGGAAGTGGGTGTTGAGGGCACTGTGTTAGATCTAATACTCCTCGAGTGGCCCATACAAGCCATGCATGCATTTACATTGTGTCTACGAAGAGCCATGAAGGTGCGTCTGGTGAGCACCGTGTTCAAAAGCATTGTTATTTTTGTCTCGGACGGTAGAGGATTTCTCCTCCCGCATTGCATCATAAAGGGTTTTCCTTTTTTATCATATTTTCATATTCTGGGAAACGGTAGAACATATGGAATCAGCGGTACAGTACTTGTTCACGAGTAAGACCTGGGAAGTGACAATGTCTCGAGTGTTCATCAGATGACCGAGCAGAGACCGATGAAGCTGTCACCTGCTCAGAGCCTCACCATCATCATCACTTGTCACATCTCTAATCTAAGATTTATTCTCAACTCAAAGAAATCATAGAACGTCATAGCCGCTTTGATTATCCACATGGAGTGAGATTCGGATGAAAGACGTGATTTATCATCTGATACTTCCCACTATATATATAACTCACTTGTTCCTTCCGTTTCAACCCACTCTCCACAGACAGACCAAAATGTCCTTCTTTCCTCCTAAAACCATAAGCGCTGTAACCGCATGGACGATCAAGAACTGCCCATAGCCGTATGCTTTTTGCTCATCTGCACCCTCGCCGTTCTTTTACTGGTTAAGCCTCCGACACACACTTGCGCTTCTTCCTCGCAACTTCTCCTCATATAACGCCCCGTCAATCAATCAGTACCTCATCCATTACACTACTCCTGAGGACACTGTGTGCAAAATGTCCCAAGAACCAAAAGCACCAGCACCACCCGACGAAGACTCAACGCCTCATCCTCACCCAACAATCTGCCTCCACAGCACAAACATAAATGCAAACGTTGCAGTGGCAAGCGACACCGAGAACAGGAGCAACACACCAGATATGCACCAATACCCTTCTCGACGGAGGAGTCTCCTCCTCAGCGATAGCGAGATCAGCGTTCTGGATCTCGGTCCTAGTCTTGAGTTTGAGGCGGAGGAGTGGCCGCTGCGTCTGCGCGAGGGGAAGCAAGGTCAGCGGGATTGTCGAGGGGAAGATGGGAAATGGGGAAAGGGGACGTCGTTGGCTGTGCCTGGGCGGCAGGGTTCGATGGAGGAGAGTACTGGTGGTGGCGCTGTGGCTGTGAGAATCATTTCGTCGCCTTTGTTGTCGCCGTTGAGGACGACGAAGAAGGAGAATAGTGGCAAGGTTCGGGGGCGGAAGTCGAGTGCGGATAAGGGGGGTGAAGGGAAGAGGGTAGAAGAGGGGTGAGTTCAGTTGAAGTTGGTTAGGTCATGATAGGAAGGTGTTGATGGCGTTGATGATGACTTAGATGGCTATGTTGTGGTTGCTAGATGCTGGCGTTCATCGGGCTGTTGGTTGCGCTTTGTGTTGGTAGAGATAGACTGGGCGACCAGAGTTGAGTGTGTATAGATGTGGTGTATATATCTTAGACTGGAAGGCGTTTGTCTGCTGTTAAATTCGTCTTCAAGTCGTTGCTCTATTGGAGCCTCTGCATTATTTGTATCGGATCTAGGCCATCTCGATGTATATGTATGTCTTGTCTAGTCTATCCTGATCTGATCATCGCATCTACTGGGGGACAGGCCAGCCGTCCACGTATTTCAACGGATTATATCCCAGTCGAGCTTCCTGGGACCAATTAGTCATTGGCTCTTGAGACTATGGAACCTTCTTACCCAAAAGTCATAGCTTATAGTTTTGTTCACTGTAAAGGTCAGCAACTACGTCGATCTCTGTACGGCAGGGAACCTACAGTAATGATAATATAGTGTGTCACCGCTCTTTTCTGTCAACACTCCCTGGCCCCCTGGTGCGTAAACGTCGCGATTGGAGGCATACACGATCTCTCCGCCGCCGTTGGCTAGGTCCCTGCCTTGCTTATCCACGAACGGCCCCCGGGGGCTCTTGGATCGACCAACTCGGATGCTATATCTGTCGCCGATGTCAGGAAGAGCATTTGCCGATTCAACAGAGATAAGACTTACTCTCTTCCCGGAGGTGGTAAATTCTTCGTATCGAACTTGCAGCACTTCCCGTAACTGAACCAGAGATAATACCAGGGCTTATGGTACGAGAGAAAACTTCCCTCGATGGGACGGGCACCCGACGGCTCCCGGCACAGCGGGTTGGGGTGGTTGCTCGCCGGCAGCGGCGCCTTCTCCATATACACCAGCTGCCGTGCCTCGGATCTCGTATCGCCTGCCACTGCAAGCAGGGTTCTGTCCAGTGGTACTTGCCATACACCCGACCAGAAGCTCCCGAACATCAGGTATCCTTGACCGTCCTCTCCAACGAGCACACTCGGATCGATGGTATTGGAACTAGCAAACGGGTGTTCATCCGACCCCTTCCCTGTCCCGGACTGTACAAGCAGCCCGTGGTCCGTCCAGCCCCCAGGACCGGGCGACTTGGATGTGGCAACGCCAATGGCACTGTCACGGCAGCCGGAGTTACTCACGGCGTAGAAGCAGTAGTACGTATCGCCGTGGCCGACGGTCTGCGGCGCCCAGGGGGCTTTCCGGTCACCCTTGGGGATCACGCTGTCCGCGTCGAGAACGGTGCCGGTGCGTTTCCATGGCCCGTCGAGACTGGGTGCCTGGTGGATGAGAATATGCTCGCCCACACTGTACGAGTAGTACGTGTCATCGACAAGGATGATGCTTGGGTCATGGATTTTAAAGTCAGTCGCATGCGTGGGCGGGAAAGTGTCTTCAGGCTGTGGGTGAGGGTGCTGTGTCTGCTGCGGCCGTTGGGTCCCCTGCGTGGAATGCTGCGGTATGCGTGTACATAATGCCCATGTGACAAGGCAGAAGAGAGCTACCAGGACGACCATCTTGATGACACGACGACGAGCGGTTGATGGCCAAATTGGTGCAAGCCATGACGGAGGATGGCCTCCGGGCCACGTATAAGACGGCGGAAGCCATGCTGAGATATCAGATGCCCTGGCCATCATCTCGGACAGGAGTGTATGCCCCTGGACTTCATCACTGCGTAGCATCTGACGAAACTACTACGGGGCAATGTGGTACAGAACCATCTAGGGAGGCAGAGGTTCGGTCCTTGATATGTAGGGCTTGCGGATCAGAATCGCCAGGAAGACTCCTAGTGCCGGTGATGAAAGATCCTCACTCCTGCTTGTGGAGCTGATCCAAATGGCGATTGTGGAGACTGAGTGAGCGGTTCAAAGAGCAGACGACGTCGCCACTGATGACAGCAAGCAATGTATGCCGACAATAGTACCAATCAGCGACCCACCAACTGCAAGGGGTGTGTACTCAAGCCAGGACCATTACATTAGTACTGGCAGTGGTACCTGGCAAGAAGACGTTCCTGATCCCTAGGGTCTGTTAAAGGGTCGACGGATGGTGTTGATGCAAAGACCAACCAAATCGCTGTGAAATGGGTGCAAAGGAAAAATGAAAATGTAACAGTGGATGTACGGTGCCACAGTGGTCTCAGCTGCAGAAAGAGGGTAGGTCAAGTCATCACGTAAGCCATCTGGATAATTCCTGCTCACGATGAGGATGAATCAACTACCTCTCTAGAGCTTTTAACTAAAGGATCCTTTCTAGGCTTCCAGGATAGCCCCTCGTGCTGTGAACCATGGTCGCTGATAGGTTCCTGGTGCAGTCAAGCATTCCGCCAGATTGCAGTATTATCGCCCCACAGCACGGGAAGCATAACAGTGATAACACTAACATCTCTACTTGTCCACATCGCATCATTCTTCCATGAAACAAATGACAGCATTGACAATGCTCAAAGAGCACGGAATACACCTTGCTTCTTACAACCTGTTTGACTCGTATCCTGTTCATTTCCCTCCAATGCCTCTGAGATATTCTGGACAAAGGCGCACACACCAAAAGTTGAGCGGTATTTATGCACGAAAAATGAAAATGGCCTATAGTCTTAGAAGTGTACTATGGTGGTATCACACTGTGCTGATTTAAGGCTGCAATATATCACGGCAATGTAGTTGAACACGAACCCTACGGCTTCTTGAATCAAGCGAAACAATCCACCGGTATGTGCAGACTATCGAGCGACAATCTTGTCCACCTCGTCCTTGGCCTCTGTCCAAGTCTCCAGGTTCTTTCGCGCCCAGTCCAGATGACAGCGAGCATATGCGACCTATCAACATCAGCATGGTCGCCTTTCGACGCGAATCGCCTCATCCTATGGGGACAACCTACCATATATCGCCGTAAATCGGCCTCCTTATCCTTCTGAAACCGCTTCAAATCTTGTAATACTCCAGCACTCGCGTCCTTGACATCCTTCTCGGAGACTTCCAGTGCTTGTTCCAGCTGTAGAGAAAGGGCATCAGTGTTGGGCAATGCAAGAGGTCAATTGACAACTAACCTGTATCAAGCTCTCCTTAGTCTTTCCGATCTGATCTCGTCGGGTGCGTTCGGGGTCCACGTCGGCAAAGCCATGTATCGCATGACTGATGCGACCGAATATTTTGTTTGCTACAAACGTGCCGCTTGACGTTTTGCGGTGAGCAGGAGAAGCGGGTGGCCCCAACTCAGGCCTCCGAGGCGGAGAAGTGTGGTATGATTGCTGCTGCGAGCTGATCGGCTCTCCATGGGTAGGTGGGAAATCAGAGTCTGCAGAAGCTGTGTCTTCCGAACCCGCGGAGCGTCCATCCCCCTCACGGCTGCCGGCGCCACTGGTTGCCGATGAGGCAGACAAGGAACGTTGAGGTCGGTTCGGCGCAGACTGAGGTGAGGTACGGTTGAGATACTGCTCGATACGTTTCGCTTCGAGCTCGCTTCTCTCTAGAGAGTCCAGTAAGGTTTTCTTCTTGGCCAGCTCATCTCGTGTCATCTCTTCTTGCACACGTTTGAGAACACGGTACCGTAACACGCTGCGGACAACACTGGCGAACTGGGCGCTCTCCCTCATAGGCTCCGCAAAACTTGCGCTCAGCGAGGACGACAATTCCTCGGTTGCAATATAGGACGTATCTGCCGCTTGACCGATGCGCTCGATAGCCGCTGCGACGGTTGGAGACTGTTCAGATAAAGAGAAACCGTTGTATCTGGCACCCAGCTCCATGAGATCTGCAGACAGGGACGACAGATGCGCCAGCGTGCGACGGTTGACCTTTTCGATGTTACCTTGAAGAAGTAGCTCGAGTTCCCGCGTAGAGGCTTCAAAATTGATAAAGTACGGATCCAGGTCCTGTTCACTCAGTTTCTTCGATTCGGGCGGGAAACGGCCCAGAACATCAGGCCCAGGTACGCTGACCGAGGCATCTCCGCGGTCCGTAGTGCCGGAGGTTGCACCGCTCGGTGCCGATTTAAGCTTTGCGGAGCTCGAGGGAACCGGAAGCCATGAGTGAGCAGCCGTAGGGTTAGCGGGGTCGAGGGGAGGGGCCTTCAGGTTGTTCTTTGGCACGGACGATGCAGGATGGGAATGAAGAACCTCGCTCTAGAATGGAGTCAGCTTGAGGTTGTGTGAGCAGCATGACTGAGATACTATCAGCATACCCAGCTAACGTTTGGATCGAGGAATCTCCACCAGACTCCATCCTCCCGAACTTCCTTCATCCGGCGACACCTATTCAAGAAGACGGCAAGCATCCGTTTGCGCAAATCAATAATGGCGGAGTCTTCCTTGGCTTTGGTAGGCTTGGCAGCATAATCTGCCATTGTATGCTTCTCTGGAATCGGGGGGATGACCAGGGTCGGATGAAGGTTCACTAGTGTCTGTCGCAAGGAAGCGAACTCGGAGTATCGTCGTCGGACTTCAAGATCCTAGATTTCGTAAGCATCTCAGCCCTATGCGCTTCAAGGGGCACATACTCCAGTGCGTATCGTATATACAATGAAACTACCGCCGCCCTCATGGTTCTTCCCGGCGTCCGTGATGAGGATCGGCATGTCCGGGTTCTCGTAGAGAATCTGTTCTATACGGCTATCGTAATGACTCTTGCGGGAATAACCATGACTCGTCTGCTGGGCGCCATAGTCTTCAGGTTCGTCCTCATCACTTAGGTCCTGCGGTCGGGAAATGTAATCGGGCGGATCCTGGTTGGACGATCGGCTGGAGGGTGACGGACTGTGTTCACGATCATAGAGAGCTGAGAGCGTCAGTTGCGAAGTTAGACTATGCGGAAGGGGAGTATTACGAGGTGACAATGCTGCAGAGTGTAGCGATTCCGAAAGACGTGCCTCGTTATCGAATGCGCCGTACGGGTTGTTATCCTCGTCGTTCCACATGTTGGGGGCTGGGAATCGCAGGAACAGCCGAGCTCAACGCACTTGAACGAAAATCTAGAACATACAGCGGGCAGAATCAATTCAGAGAAGAGAGTAGCATCGGATATATCGATATAGAAGAGAAATCAAAGCTGATGGATCCAGAGTGAGAGCTAGATGTTGTATGTGGAGAGGAGTAAGATGCATTGGAAAGTCACCGCCTGGAGATCCGCGGGGGTAGTTCCTCTTACCACAACGTCACCGCCTCGGGAACAACCCATACCACCAACCACGTCATTTATCCGGTCTTTACCTCTCTAATTGACCTATGAATGAACGAGTGTAAATAACGAATACTATCTACCAGTTACCCTCTGGTTCTGTTGGCTTTGCTTCCTCAGTCGCCTTCGTAGTTGCACCGTCGCCAGCTTTCCCGTCCCCTGACCATTCTCCCTGGGTGTCTTGTGCAGGAGCGAAAGCGTCACTGGCTTGCCATCCGCCCTCAGTTTGTCCCTGTGAGTTCTGCGCTTGTGCTGCATCACTCGCCCCCCACGGGTCATATTGTCCTTCTGCTTGTCCCTGAGATTCCTGCGTATTCGGCTGTCCATCGCTATTCTGCCATTCATCATTTGTCGCTCCTGCTACTGGAGTAGAAGGTTTAGGAGGAGAGGACGGCGGCGCTGCCGGTTGAACAGGAGATGAGGGAGGAGCACCAGCAGGAGGAGGTGGGGGAGTTGATGGCTTTTGCCGTTGCTGCTGCTGCACAGTATTCTCTGTCCTTGTCGTAGACTTTCTGACCTCGTTTCTCTGTACATATCGGCCGATGGGTGAGACCCGTCGCGAGCTTCGTCTCGTTCTATTTTGTATTGACGGTCTTGGAGCCGCTGATCTTGACCTTGTTCTTCTTCCCCGTTCTCCCCTTGCTGATAAGAGCTGGGCTGCGATGGCATGGGCATCTCTCTGTCGTGTCCCTTCTCGTTGTAGGCGTAGGTTCCGTCTGACTTCTGTTCTCCATTTGAAGATGAAGGCCACGCCGATGGCGCCTATTCCGAGCACTGCGAGGAGGACAACGGCGATGGTGAGGCTTGAAATCATTGTTGGTCAAGCTATTACTGTTGTCGAGATAGAGAGAAATCACAAAGTATTTCACAGGCTGGCGTCTGGAAACTGACTGCCTCAAACGGAGGGAACGCGATTCCTAATGGACTTCATTGACACAGACATCTCAGACTAGATACTTGAAGGCATAGTCCTTCTCGAGTTTCCCATAGTGTGTAATTAACAGACTCGAACTTGCAAGTGAGAAGCCTCACTCGGCGCAACTGAGAGAACTGATCAATTCACCATTCAACGGTGACTGGACACTTGAGCACGCCTCACAATGGATTGACTTGACTGAGTTGTATAAACATACATTCATTATATTTCTATCCTCACTTTTGTCTATACCTAAGAATATCAACTCAAGCGCATTGCAATGCTTGTTGCGCTCTCGAGAGCCAGTCGTCATGAAGTGATATCGCTCGTCCAGATTCAGAGAGAGATTCAAGAAGCTTCTTGAGCCGGGTCTGTTCCTCACTCAAGGACCCAGAAGCAGCAAATTGCCGAGATACCAGAACGCCCGCAATACTAATGACACGCACACCAAGAATGAAGGTTTCAGGCTTTGAAGCCCAGCCTAAAAGGCCGTCATTGCCCGCTTCCTCGACAGCGAATTCGCAGATAGACGATAGTCCTGCCAACACCCATGTAGTAACTTCGCGAACAAGGCCAGGGTCGAACGATGATCCTGCCATTTGGAGGAGCATTGCAGCCCAGACATCAACTTCGCGCACTTCGTCAATGAACAGGTTCTGTTTCTCCTCTTCGAAAAGAATTGTGCTTTCTTCTCTGTGATCGCGGAGCTGGTCTGGAACCGCCTTTAACCTAGGTTTGTCGACAGAACCACTGACCTTCGGTGCTTGGCCGGTAACGTACTGAATGATTCTCGTGCACAGGAACGAAGATTGGGTATAATTATCAACGATAAATTTTGAAAGAAGGTCGCTGGCATACCGAGGAGCCAGAGTAACGGCTTTCGAAGGAGAAACGGTGGAGTAGGACAGAATCCAGGATGCTATTGAGGCTGCAAGTTCACGCAACTCCTCGTCGTCATCATTTAACATGTCATAAAGAATGAGGTAAATCTCCAGGAAGACAGCGTCGACCTGAGGAGGACTGCCAACAGGCCGCAAGATGCGCCCGAAAGTTGTCAGAGAAGTCACTGCAGCATGACGTGTTGTGAATTCCTATATTCTGTCAGCTCCACGCGTTCCAAACGGATTGAAGGATGGCTCACCGTCTCCTCCTGCATCGCGAAACGGAGTCTAGTCGCCCACCGGCGAATATCTCTCTCCATTCCTTTCCAATGGTTCAAGGAAGCTCTAATACTCAAGAGACATCCTTGTAGACGCAGCTCAACGTTCGACGTGTCTCGATTGGGTGTTTGCCCGTCAGGCCTCGAGTCTATTTGCTCGTGCAGAGCATCCCATGGGAGTTCAATTTCCTTCAAATCACTTCCCCGGGATTCAAGAACGATACGCAAAATGGTCTCAAGTGAAGAGACCGCCGCCATTTTGACTTCTGCTGTGTAACTTCCCCGAATGACTGAAGAGTACAATGTGAGCACAGTTTCCCTATAGCGGCCCCTCTCTCCCAGAACAGCTTGCATCTGCTCGATTATCCACCGACCGGCATCTGAATCGAAGCGGGATACAATTTGGAAAAATGATTCCAAATTCTCCACGTTACCGGATATTAACATCCGCAGAACTCCGGTCCAAGCGAGTACTCTTCGAAGTAGAGACGCGGCACGAGTTGTATTTAGAGTTCTCCAGTGAGGATGGGATGAATCGAACAGAAAGTCTAATATATCTTCAAAAGCGAAAAAGTCGGAGGCATGATTGACGATTTGAATGGCTGAATCTGGTGGGTCTTAGTGTCAATCCTCACAATCAGCCTTGGTTCAACCCACCTTCAGCTCCTGATTCAATGCTTTTCTCGACAGCGTCATTGAGAATTTCTATCAATGTAGTGGCGACAAACGGGGAGTGGGCAGAGGGAAAAAGTGTTGCAAGGATATCCTGTATGACGGATGTTACCTCGCTCAAGTGATCTATGCCCTGTTAGCACATGATATACGAATGCAACATGGCAGAGAGCATACTATTCCAGAATGGAAGAGAGATAGATGCAAACCTGCGCAGAGCGTACTTGGCACAGAGCGCCTTGCCATGAAGAAAGTCCTGAGTCTCCAGACCTCGGTCAACTTCCAACAGAGCCCGAATCTCCGTCAAGATGTCGGCGCGCTTCAATAGAGAAGCGTACACTCGGGCTGAGTGCTCTCTGATCCCCCATACAGGGCTCTTGAACTGCTCTCGGACGAGATTGCGAAGCAAAATATCGTCGTCGTCAGAAACGGACGGAACTTTTTCAGCGGTCAACTCCAGCGCTGGGAAAACCCGTTCAGTGACAATGTCATGATCACCAAATTGATTGGTCTGCTTTTTGTCTGTTGGAGCAAGGAGATTTGACAGTAGGTGAAGAAGACCCGGATACTTGTGGAACGAAATTCTGGCGCCGGGCTCTGATCCGGAGCTACCGCCAAAGCCAAAATTGGCTCCTGTCAGTAGGCGGCACATACGTGTCAAGAGAGCACGGAAAAGCATCAGTCCAGAGTTACGAAGAGCCCATCTAGTCCGTTTAGCTTTCTGAACAAGCGTTTGAGGGAGCCTTGTACTTACATAGGCGATCCTAGCCGTTCAGCTGATAGAGTAAGGGCAGGCATGATATAGGGTTCTGTGAAAGGTCCGAGTTTGGTATTCGTAAATATGTCTTTCAAGCAATTCATGGCGTGGACCTGTGGTAGTTCGACTTTTTGTTTGCTACGATTATGCTCAGCAGGGAGGTGAGCTATTTCATGGAGCTCATCTATGACCTGTCGGAAGAGCGGCCCTCCTGGCTTCGAAAGAACGATTCCTGTGGCCAAGGCTGGTAGACCTGCCGAGCGCCTTGTAAGTTGAGAGGCTGTCTCAAATATAATCTTCCTCGCTTCCTGTATACGACGCGTTAGGCTCTGAATTTCCCCGCTGTGTCTGTTCTCTTACCTGATACCATCGCTCAGGCAGAGCAGAGATAGTAGGATCATTCGACTGGCCGCATCGTTGACAACAAGTGGCAAAGGTTTGAGATACGGTTGAGAATGCTCCTCTGTGGCGAAGTTCGGCAAGCTGAGTGAAGCTGGACATCCCTACTTTCTCATAGTCATCGGCACTGAACCCAGACTCCCCTTGAGGCGCATAGGTCGCATTGGCGAGGGTCGCATGAAGCAGAAGACTTCTCACATTAGCAGCCGAATGACGTTGCCAGAGGAGCAAAAATACCTTGACTCGCGAAGAGCACGCCAGGAATAAGACAGGATATCCTTTGGCCCGATGTTGAACTCCTCTATTGGCTCATCGCTGTGACCTTCCGGCGAGTCGATGCACAAAACAGGCTTGACTTCCTCCCAAATTCGGTCACAAATAGACACTATCCTTGTGTGAACAAGTCTCCAGTCATCGCCTGTTGCTGACACATGATCTGAAATCAATTGATGGAAATTTGACGTCGAAACAATGTATCTGAAAGGTTAGTCGCCCATATACGTTTGAAAGTGGAAATTTCGCACCTTAGAGCAGACACATATCCGTGAAGAGGAGCGTCCCGCATCGAGGTGGTAAAAAGACCACCAGGATTGGAAACTTTGCCCTCAAGCTTTTTCAGAAGCACATCAACCACTCTCTTCTTGGTTTCCCACCATTGTGAATCGCCTCCCGAATGAGTCTCAGCTGCGGCGCAGAAGATGATATGGTATAGTCGGGCGACGGTATCGGCATGGTCAGCTCTGCTGGTATTGCTGGCCAATTGCTCGGCTTTTGTCAGGGCATCGATCAGTCGCAATGACATGGCCGATGATCGGTCTGCAGATTGTAGAAGGCCGCCCAAGAGCATGTCTCGGGGGGCAAGGTTCAGGATGGTCAAAGACGTGGCTCGCACCTCCTCAAAGGGGTCCAGTAGAAGATCCACGAGCAATCTGATAAGACTCAGGTCGAATATCTCGATGTTGACCTTCCAGCGAACTTTATCCTCTTCCATCTTGACAAGCTTGGTCAACTTAACACGAGAATCAAGACCAGACTGGAGGAAAAGGTTTATTGTCTTGAGAGCCATGATATGGCGAGGATAAGAGGCGGTGGGCCGCATGTCTGCCTTGAGGAAACCAATGTAGGATGTGAGACATGTTCGAGTCTCCGAATCGCTCCGGGCTGACTTTGCCTGCTGCCTTGTGTCTGTAGACAGCTCTTCCTGACTCGAACCATCCCGTTTATCCAATATACCACCCTTCAAGCGTACAATCAATTTACGAATCAAGCTGATGATCTCCCCTCGAGAATAAGAGTCGGACTCAGCGTGCATAGCGGGCAAACCCCTGAGAATTGCGCGGATCGCGGCAGATGAAAGAGGCTTTGTAGTGGCAGGTGCTGATATTAGGAGTGAGAGTGCTGCTATTCTGATGCTGAATTCTCGGTGGAATAAAAATTGTCCAATGACCTCACTCGGTAGGGAGAGTTTCATGCCAGTTCCCTGCTTAGAAGAGCCATCTAAGAGACAGTTAGTACGCAGCGGCCATATTCAATCTGAACAATATTCGTTACTCACAGTCTTCGTCAACAAGGCCGGTCTTCTTGGCCACTTGTAAAGAAGCAAACAGGAGAGTGAGCTCCGGCAATGCAGCATCAGCCATATCACCAGCAAAGACATTCTTGAGAGGTAGACAGTCTAAGAAGGATTGAAATCCAATGGGGTCATTGAAGAAGAGCGGTTGGAGAACATAATTCGACATAGGCTCCAGATTGTCCATGTTCTGTAGCACCATATACCTGACGGGAGGGATCCAGACTGAGAGGAGAGCGCGCTCATCCTGGGCAAGACCAGGATCAGTCTTGAGTTTTTGAAAGAATGCAGCAATAGCGTCACCAGCACTTGAGGCAAGCTCGGGATTCTTTGCCTGATTCAGAAGCCCCAGTAGCAGGATCTGGACGGCAAGCCCTCTAGATTCTACTCTCTTCGTGTTGCGGGAAGCTTCATTGGAGATGAGGAGGACGTCCATAGACAAGGCTTTGCAATCCTCTTGCAGGAGGGAAATCCATTTCTCGCTGTTTTTTGACAGCCACACTTGGAGCATAGATATTAACTCGTGGGGTAAAATAGCGCTCTTGCGTGTGATAATCTCAAGCGAAACAAGGGAAGCCTTAAGTCGCGCACGCGGTTCACCGAGAATGATACTAGGAAGGATAGCATCTACCAGACCAGCCTGTATTAGATGAGAGCTAGGTTCTTGCCGACTTTTGGCCAATGATTTGACCAAGGAGGTTATAACCAGCTTCATCGGCTTTGGTTTCGCATCTTCAAATCGAGTTATAAACACCTCGAATGCGGAGAGCCACGTATCCGGTGACTGAGCAAGCTGTCTAGTGCCTGCGCACTTGGAGACAGAAGCAGCATCAAGGAACGCACTTAAAGCGTTACATGACACCGTCGTATGAGAACTAGGAATGGACGCTGTGGAAAATGTCTTCAACAAGCTCTGCCATACCCGGCTCACCTTGCTATGACAATGTCAGAAAATCTTGACTAAAGAGTGTGTCCAGAAGAGAGACTAAAAGCATTATCTTACTCAACGTTATCACATTCCTGTGTAAATTTCACCAATGGTCCTTTCGAGATTTTGTTCAAAGTATCCTCCGATAGAAGTTGTATAGTCTGCGATATCTCCTCCATGTCTATGCGTCTTCCGTCAGCCGAGACGCTGGAGACAGCTGAAGCCTGCATGACCTTTACTGAATTTGCATACCTCGGCTTATCAAAATCTCCGACAATGATCAATTGAACCTACTCTCACCCTCAAAATTTCCGTTCCCCACGTTTGCCATGCTCATTTGCCTCTTGTGGATTTTCGAGGCGGGTCTCCCGAAAAGGCGTAGCGCCGGCCAAGGATTTTCCCGATGCCGGCCCGGCGGAAACGACGTGAGCGACGGGCATCAGTGACTGCTGAAGTTTTTGTTCTCCGGTCTTCCATTAATTCGTCTGTCATCATCAACCCTGCTATCAAGGCCAGTTGCGCTGTCGGGGTAGTACTCTTTACCTCCCTCGCTCTACATTCTATTTACATTCTTATCTGTGTTTTAATCTAATTATTTTCCTACATCGAAATGGCGATTTGGGACTCAATCAGCGGCCGCAAGCAGGCCCAAGGATCCGAGGCTTTCGACCCTTCAACCGCGCAAGATGCCACATCCTTCCTCTCCGAAGCTCTCATACCTGATCCTACTCAGCTTCATCCCCTTGCTGGCTTGAACCAAGATACTCTTGACTATCTGACCCTCGAAGACTCCACCCTTGACGAAATCCCGGGGTCGCGATCGGTATTGCCATCCCGTGGATGGTCGGACGATCTGTGTTACGGAACTGGAACTACCTATCTTACTGCGCTGACGATAGGAGGTGCTTGGGGTCTTGCTGAAGGTCTAAGACGTACACCAGCTACAGCGCCTCCCAAGATTCGGCTGAACGGTGTTCTCAACTCGATTACCAGGAGAGGACCGTTCCTCGGAAACTCCGCGGGTGTGGTGGCCATGGTATACAACGGGTTCAACTCGGGACTGGGTTACGCACGGGGAAAGCACGACTCAGCCAACAGCATTGTTGCAGGTGCCCTGAGTGGAATGCTCTTCAAGAGTACTAGGGGTCTCAAGCCCATGATGATCTCTGGTGGTATTGTGGCTAGTATTGCTGGTACCTGGGCTGTACGTGATTCTCATTTATTTCTTCTAGTGGCATTGTTCGCTAACTATTACATAGGTCATCCGACGCGCTTTTCTGTAAACACCAACCCAACTTTTGCTCGATTGCAATTTGTGCGCTTGAGCCGTGTCGACTCTAAAATGAACCATCGCAAGGTCGCAGAACCCACAAACTCCATGCTTTATTTCAGCGAAACGGGCGGATGCTGTTCATACTGTACTTCTTTATTCTCGCCTTTTATTTTTCCCAACTGTATTAGAACGGCTTTCTCCTTGTCCCTCACAAATCTCTTCACTCCGGCGCTCAGAGTATCCATCTTTTTGCATTATCCGTGAGTTGGGACCGGCATGATAATGGGTTTTTCTTTTTCATATTTTACGGTTTCTGTACATATAGTCACCTCCAGCCTTCGCACAGGGCTCCGTCAGGGCATTGATCTGCTTATTGGATGATTTAGGAGCTCAAATGAAAAGACTCGAAACGAAAGTGATTCGTGTCGTAAGCATACCATTCCTAAGCACGCCAGAACTTGACATACAACGATACCTAGACACTCGGCAGGCACATTCGAGGTATTTACATGTGCCTGCTGGTGATCGCTTTACAACTGAATGACCGATTCGTTATGCTACTAACAGTCCCTGATGTTGCTTCTATTCCCGGAGTTCTTTCTGTCATTCTATTCAATACCACAACCCTCTTAACTTATCTCAAAGCATCACACCGGCAACATATTCAGAAAACAGAGCAGAAGAAATAGGGGCTATTATTGACTGCTATTCAGGCGTTGTTCCTTGGAGAGCTTTTCCACTTTAGCCACTTGGAATAGTTCACATACAGCTCAGGTTGGGCTTTATGTCGGCTTGCCGAAGAACGGCACCTACTTCAGTGAGCTCGACTTCTGAAGAGGCATTTCCTTGAGTGACTTCTTCACAAAGTGTCCTGCGATTCGATCTCTATTGTAAGGCGTATCCTCTGCAGAGATCCCTTCCATTCAAGTTGTCGATATGTCTTCATTCTACAGATAGCTTCAGATGTGCTTGTGGATACGGGATGCTTCGGCTAGCCGAAATGTTGTGGTACCTATCAAGTATGAACTGTAGGTCTGTGGAGAGCCGAATAAAGACTGTTCAGTCTCACTTTGAATTGTGGGGCAGATACATTGTTATTTATTCTCTTCTTAAATTCCCTGCTAAAATTTGATGATATGCTTCAAGAGCACCGTCTGAAGGCTTGCTGAATGCTTCAGGTTCGGTGAAGCTGTCAATGGAGTGATTGATATTTGTGGAAATACACAGGATCATTTACACTAGCATATTATTCCCTCAGACATGCCGGTCTACACGCAAACCCTTGCTTTCAGTCTAATAAAGAAATATATGCCGAGGCCAGCCTGTTCAACCTCAACTGAACATCTTCTGCGGCCTGATGCTCAAGTTACTTCACCAAAAAAAGCATTCTGGTTGTTCAATATAACTCATCTTCACTCACATCATATTAGCACACATGGCGATAAACCACCTAGAGACAGCAATTATAAGGAAGAACTGTCTTAACTTCATCATATGCACTTCCCGACCTTCATAAAACTTGCTACCTGTACCAGCTTCTCACCTTCGGAAAGATGATTTTTGCCTTAAAAACTGATCAGAATATAATGGTCATTGTCCATCATTATTTGCAATTTTCATCCAACTCTTCCTTCTACACCGTATCAGATATCCTCTTGTGATGGATGATCGCGACCAGCAGGAGAGCTCGAACCTCGGCACCTGGAGAATGTGGCAGTCCTTTGTTGTAAGCCCTGGAAATCACCAGATGGCAATAAGAGTCCCTTATTGCTGATGTTTTGCCAAATCAGTAGTGTATTCTTGGTGATCAATTCTACGAAAATCCAAGAATGCTGTAGTGCATTAGCTCAGCAGATGAGCCAGGTCAATGTGGATAGAGTTGCAGCTAGTTTCACAGAACAGAGGGGGCTGAGTAGAAAGACCTCTGGTTCTCTGGGAGGCTGACCACCAGGGGGCACGATGGCTTGGAATCTTGGATGAAGCATAGTATACATCTGGGTTATCTGTCATCGACCAAGACAGAGTACGTATGAGTACGTATGCGCCACTGCCTCATGCTGGATAGATGCATGCGATCTTCTTAGGCAACCACATGCCTTCCTTTTTGGGGAACGTACTACCTTACCTACAGCCTCAGACCAGTTTGGGAAAGAATACGAGAGGCCCTTTGTTGTGGACTCTTCTCAAGGCAAAGCAAGCAATTGGAAGGCTAAATCTGCACAGACCACAGACTGTAAACCCTAAGACTCTCATTCTTAATATGCAAGGCACAGCCCACTTTTAGTAACTGCTTACTCGATAAAGATGTCCTCGCAACCTCTGCCGCTGAGCACATTGGAACATAAATCAATACTCTCAACATTGGGATTAAAGAGGCTTTATAGACAGCTCTGGAGACAGATTTTTAATCCACTTTCTGTTTCCACTTTTTTTGACTCTTTATGGAGTAGTTCCAGATACTTTGACTGCCTAATTAAGACGACGCCTTCCTCTGTCCCTGATAATGACTAACCTCATACGGCCCAAGCCTTACTGAACGCGGGGTACCTAGCTGCCCTTTTCATCCAACTGGACTAGTCTAGATCCAGAATGGGCCATCAGCTGACCCCGCGTGGATTTTTCTGCGGCGTCATCAATCTACTACCATTTGCAGTAGCTGCACCTGCTAACGACCAGTATGTTCCTGTTAGATTATTATTAGATCATTAGTTTATTAGATGGACGCGTTAGTGTGCAGGTGTCCGCCTATCCGCCCGGCTTCTGGATGACCTTCATCATCGTCCTTTCTCCCCTTCATCCCTCCGAATTTCGAACGCTTGCATGGTTAGACTAGAAGCATAAAGGGTTCCTTGGGTTCCTTATCTTTGCCTGAAACCCCCGGGCCTTAGGGCGCTCTTTATCTGCCAAGCACGACTTGATTTGCTTAAAGCTTGATTTGAAAGTTCCCCAGCGCTGTCACATTCTCGAACCAAGCGCCCGGTCTCACCCGCAACAACTAAACACGAATCTTTCCTGTCTGGTTCAGACACTTCGGCGGCGCGACAAAGAGCAACCCACTGAGAGAATCAGTAACAAAGAAAACAATTTTTGAGGAAACCAGAAAAAGAGTGGGGTTTTCTTATTTCTTCGATGAGTGACTCGGATTTGAGCCAGCGGACCGGCAGGTCACAATCTTTACCTTTGTCCCAGTTCCCCCGGTTACACGAAGCCGATGCGACGACGCTTTCAACTGACAATGCGACGAATACTACGCCATCCTTGAGCCATGGCGACGGAAGGAGTTACTCGACGCTGATATATAAAGACCATAATCCAGCGAATGCAACTCAGCACCACCACCACGACCTACCATCACTTCATATTCGCACGGATATCGCAGGACCAGTATCAATGGACGCTCTCAAGGAGAATGATCCCTTCTTAAATCAAAGCCTCTCGCCTGGAAGTATTCCCCGGCGCACCCCAAGTCTTCGCGCCGTGCTCGCTAGCTCAGGCCCCAATGAGGGGCTTTCGCCAGCGTCAATATCATCTCCTCAATTAGTGGCGATGGGCGACATCACGCCTTTGCCATCGCCGATTGGTGGTATGACTTCTTGGAGACATCGGCGCGGCTCACAGTCCTTATCACGCACCTCTTCAGCCATGTCACGGAATGGGTCAAGCCTTAGCTTACGTCTCAGTGACTCTTCGCAGATGCTGGGGCCGGCCGAGTCGCGATCGCGCAGCAAACAATATCCGGCCTTGGGAAAAGCCACTGCAGAAATTTCTCCAGAGACACCTGACAAGGGTCGCCAAGAGCATGTGCACACGCATACACGCAATCGCAGTCTCAGCGAGTATGTGCCCCCCGGTCGAAGTGTGCCCATCAAGCCACGTCCAATCGCGGTGTCAGGAGCTGGCTTACCCCAGAGTATGATTTCATCGGTGAGTACTGATTCGAAATCAACCAACCTCCACCGCGAAGAATATCTGGCCATCCAGCGGGGTATTGCTTTACCCACCGTGCGGCCCCCTACTCCGCCCCGAAGCAGGGGCAATGAAGCGGGCGACGTCCAGTCCGTCGTTCTTCAATCTCCGTCGCCTGATGCCTCGGAGGAGATTTATTCAGTGCGCTCCATCCGGACTGATCAACCACGAAAGTATCGCAAGTTGCGTCAATTGGGCCAGGGCACTTTCAGTCAGGTCTCCCTGGCAGTGCGCGTGGAGAGCCGAGAATGCAACGAAGTCCACGATGGTCCCGTTATGGATGGCCTAGCACCTACAACCCAGAAGTTGGTTGCTGTCAAGATTATTGAGTATGGACCGGCTGGCGGTGCAGATGAAGAGCGGGTGGAAGTTTCCCTCAAGCGGGAGGTGGAGATTCTCAAATCCGTCAACCATCCGTCTCTTGTGCAACTCAAGGCATTTGGAAGCGACGAGAAGCGTGCACTTCTGGTCCTGGATTACTGTCCGGGTGGTGACCTTTTCGATGTTGCTGCATCGGGAGTCAAGCCTATAAGCCCAGCTCTCATTCGCCGGATCTTCGCAGAACTTGTGGACGCAGTGCGGTATCTGCATGGGAATTACATTGTGCACCGAGACATCAAACTCGAGAGTAAGTTGATCAAGCTCCTTCTGTTGATGGAAACGGCCGACTGATTGCTTTGCAGACGTGCTTGTCACGCTTCCTCCCACAGCGATGGAAAAGATTGCTGACTGGCGCACATATGACCGCGCGGTTGTCACGTTGAGCGATCTCGGTCTTTCCAGACGCATTCCCGAGCCTCCTGAAAGTCCGTTACTTCAGACCCGCTGTGGAAGTGAAGACTACGCGGCGCCGGAGATCCTGATGGGACAACCATACGACGGACGATCGACTGATGCATGGGCCCTGGGAGTGCTCCTCTATGCCATGATGGAGAATCGGTTGCCGTTTGATGCCTTGCCTGGTGCCCGGGGCGATCCCGAGAAACTTCGAGCCCGGACACCGCACCGCATCGCTCGATGCGAATGGGCCTGGTACAGATATGCCGACAATGATGGTGAGTGGGATCCTGTGAAGGGAAAGGACCTCGAAGGTGCTCGTGAGTGCGTCGAGGGCCTACTGAAGCGCAACACCAGGCGAAAGGGCCTGGACGAGATTGCGGCCTTGGACTGGGTCAAAGATGCAATTGATGTTCCAGGTGGGCTCAAGCGAGGGGACAGGGAAGTGCCATAGAGCTGGTCTCTTGCACGTTGTATACTTTTGTTTCTCAGGTTTCATTATTCCTGCTTTCTATTTCTGCTTTTCTCAGCGATACATGGTCATTTGGTGATGGGCTCCGAGAGACGATGGGCCTTCATGTTTACGATTTTGCTTTTGCATTCACCTTTTACATTCTTAGATTACTTTGGCTAGACCAAAGATTTTATACCCCTAGATATGATTTCTTTTCTCCTTTCTTGTTTTCGTCATATTCTACTTCTTCTCATGGCCCAGGTCCTATGTTCCCTCAAGGATGATGTACTTGGTATGGGGTTGCGTTGAAGACTACGATAGCTCAGACTTTGATCGACGGTGTCATGTCTTTAAATGAAATTGACTTATGAGTCATGGCATGTTGAATTATCCGGTAAATGATAGTTATAAGAGTGCGTACACAGTCGCCCTTTGATGCTGACAATCCCCCGCTGTGGATTGGCTGCTGCCGGCATCGGAGGGCGGCGTCGGGGAGATGCAGCAGGACTCCGGGCCCGGCGGAATCACCTTTCTCCAGCTCTCCCGCAGCGGTAATAATGAGCCATCGATTCTTTGATTCTCAAAATCATAACCTCCCAAAAGTCTGAAACCTTACAGCTACCTCCAGGATCCGGGGAGCCTGACAATCTAAGTCAACTTTCTCGCAGGTCATTGGCCGACGTCAACTTGATTTCCATCGTTGACTGCCATGCTTCTCTCTCAGACCAGAGGGCGTCTGCCCTCGGCTCTCCGGAGCTTCTCTCGGTAGGCAATGCTGCTCTGAATAGCTCTTTTGTGCTAAGAAGGATCGCTGCTAATGATCGATCTTGATCCAGCCGTTCCCTCTCCACTACTCTCCCCAGACACAAAGATAGCGAAGACACCGCTCTGAATAAGGTCTCCCGCAATGTCACACAACCCATCTCGCAGGGTGCTTCCCAGGCCATGCTGTACGCTACAGGCCTCACAGAGGAGGACATGAACAAGGCGCAGGTCGGTATTTCGTCTGTCTGGTACAACGGCAACCCCTGCAACATGCACCTGCTCGATCTCAGCAACCGGGTGCGTGAAGGTGTACAAAAGGCCGGTCTGGTCGGCTTCCAGTTTAACACCGTTGGTGTCAGCGACGCCATCAGTATGGGTACCAAGGGAATGCGGTTCTCCCTGCAGAGCCGTGACCTGATCGCCGACTCCATCGAAACCGTCATGGGCGGCCAGTGGTACGACGCCAACATCAGTATCCCCGGTTGCGACAAGAACATGCCCGGTGTGTTGATGGCCATGGGCCGTGTGAATCGCCCCAGTTTGATGGTGTACGGCGGTACCATCAAGCCCGGCTGCGCCAAGACTCAGAATAACGCCGACATCGATATCGTCTCGGCCTTCCAGGCGTATGGACAGTTCCTTACCGGCGAGATCACTGAGAACCAGCGCTTCGACATCATCCGCAACGCCTGCCCCGGTGGCGGTGCCTGTGGCGGTATGTACACGGCCAACACCATGGCAACTGCCATCGAGGTCATGGGTATGACGCTGCCCGGCTCCTCGTCGAACCCGGCCGAATCCAAGGCCAAGGACCTCGAGTGCTTGGCTGCCGGTGAGGCCATCAAGCGGCTGCTCAAGGAGGACATTCGGCCCTCGGACATCCTGACCCGCCAGGCCTTCGAGAACGCCATGATCGTCGTCAACATCACCGGTGGCTCGACCAATGCCGTCCTCCACCTGATCGCCATCGCCGACTCGGTCGGCATCAAGCTCGACATCGAGGACTTCCAGAAGGTCTCGGACCACACCCCATTCCTCGCCGACCTCAAGCCATCGGGCAAGTACGTCATGGCCGACCTGTACAACATCGGCGGCACCCCTGCCCTGCTCAAATACCTGCTCAAGGAGGGCGTCATCGACGGTTCCGGCATGACCGTCACGGGTGAAACCCTTGCCAAGAACCTCGAGAACGCCCCCGACTTCCCCGCCGACCAGAAGATCATCCGGCCCCTGTCCAACCCGATCAAGAAGACCGGCCACATCCAGATCCTCCGCGGCTCCCTGGCCCCCGGCGGCTCCGTCGGTAAGATCACCGGCAAGGAAGGCACCCGGTTCGTCGGCAAGGCCCGCGTCTTCGACCACGAGGACGACTTCATCGCCGCGCTCGAGCGCAACGAGATCAAAAAGGAGGAGAAGACCGTCGTCGTCATCCGCTACACCGGCCCCAAGGGCGGACCCGGCATGCCGGAGATGCTCAAGCCCTCCTCCGCCCTCATGGGCGCCGGCCTCGGCTCCTCCTGCGCTCTCATCACCGATGGCCGCTTCTCCGGTGGCTCTCACGGCTTCCTGATCGGTCACATCGTGCCCGAGGCCGCGGTGGGTGGTCCCATCGGTCTCGTCAAGGATGGCGACTCCATCACCATTGACGCCGAGAAGCGTGTGCTCGACCTCGACGTTGACGAGACCGAGCTTGCTCGCCGTAGACAGGAGTGGGAGGCTCTCCGGGATGCCGGCAAGCTGCCTCAGACTGGTCTTACGATGAGAGGTACCCTGGGTAAATACGCTAGGTATGTGCCTCACTTCACCTCTTTCCCCTTGTCTTGTTTTCTTTTTGATGCCATACTGACCGCCTGTAGGACCGTCAAGGATGCCAGTCACGGCTGCATTACTGACTCTGTAGAATAAACGTCCAAAGAGAGGAACCTTATTATTTGGATAATGTCCGTATTGGGATTTGCAAAAAACCTGTTTCTTTGAAAGTCATACTAAAGAAACAGAAAAGTGATTGTTTTACATGTGTGACTAGGCGCATTTAATTACAGATACCTTTTTTTCTTTTTCTCGACTAGACTTGACTACATGAGAGCAGCCTGGCTAATGGCAGCTCGGTTGTTTGATGCATACCGGCTGCTGACGAAGTAGCGCGTCATTCAAAAACCGACTAATCCACAGAAATGTAATATATAGACATCTATAAATGAAATTCAAAGAACAAATCTCACACGGCGCATTCACCACGTCCGCCTCGTCTTCGTCCACGAGCGAAGAAAATCTTGCTTCTCCTTGACCCCCAATCCCACACGTTTCACCCTGCCCAGCCGACCCAGAGCATCCCCGACCTGGTCCAGTAGCGCCTTCTCACCAGGAGCAAGGGCACCTCCGTCGCTCGGCTCCAAGGTGTCAAAGTAATTGGTATCGTAACTCGGCTGGCGGGCAAGCTTCGACGCCCCGGTCTTGTCCGCCGCACTGACCTGCCCCCTGACCACACACTCCGCGATCCGGACACGTATACAATGCGTCGGTCTACTCAACAGCTTCCACAGAAAACTCAGGTAGCTTCCGGGCAGTGGCGTCACCACATCCCCCGGCGTATACCGCAAGCTGATAGGGAAGATCTTGGTTGTCGGGGGAACGCCCAGAAGCGAGTAGCTCAGCGGCAGGACTCCGCGTGCGTTGGTCGTGGTGCACTCGGGGAAGGTCACGATGGGCCGGCCGGGATACTTGTCTAGCAAACTTGCGATGTCGACCAGGCGTGCGCCGGGCGGCGGTCTTACTTGCGGGACGGCAAAGGCGCGCAGGATAGCCTGGACAAGCGAGATGTGTTCGACCCGGCGCGAATTCGGGTATGAGACTGTGAAGACCGGGTCGAAGATGGCTGCCAGGTAGAGCGGGTCGATGGGGGAGGTGAAGGAGGAGGCGATCACGGAGCCGGGGCCGGGGAGACGGGCTTGGTGTTGTTTTGAGAGCGATCTGGGGGAGTCGGACTTGGTCAGTTCTGCGGCGAGTATGTAGTGAAGGGAACGGGAAGGCCGCGCACCCCTTTCTCACACCGTCCACTTGGAGGTCAATCCACCAGATACTGGGGACGCCGAGGATACACCACAGCGAAGCCTTCTTCCCTAACGAGCCTATCGGCAGCCATTGAAGCAGGAGGAAATAACTCAAGCACACAAAAATGAGCAATGGAAGGCGAAAGAAGAATAAAAAGATTCCGAGTGGGAGCTTCCAGCCCAGCGGCTGAGAGGGGATGGGAAGAAATGGCGCAATGCCCGATCCTGCAACCACGGGCGCTTAGCCTTCATGAGAATAAGCGGTAGACAGGAAAGTACAAACCTCGATCTCGAAATTGCGAGAACTTCTCCATAGCGGAATGGTGCGTCAAGAGGTTGTAGTAGCAAAGGCGAAGATGGGCAGCAAAAGCGGTATCTACTTAGAACGCACTGCGGCCATTGCTCGGAGGTGAAACGAGCGAGTGATAATTAGGCTGAACTTTTGCAGCTGAAAGAGTCGCTGCGCGCACCAAGGATCCTTATCGGAGAGGAGGCGAGCGAGTCAAAGGGATGATCTCAGCCGGCGAAATTGTACGAACTATTGCAGTGCACGGGAGAAAGATGACGCCGCTAAATTGTCACATGTGAGAGACCCGTTTTGGGATACCACATGGCACTAACCCCATACATTCATTTGATGCCTGAGGAGAAAGTCGAGGAAAGAATGGAACTTTTGAGATAGAAGACAGGATATCTAATTGAACTAAATGCTACAAATCGAACTGATTTAAGGTAACTAAGGAGATAGCAGTCTTAGGCGTGCACTTCGTATGCCATCTCTCTTGAGATATCGTCTGTCGAGTAGGGGATACATATCTGTGACTCAGTCAGCACTGCTTCAACATTGTTGATATCGAACATCCAACTGAGAGGTTGTTTTCTTCAGAATGAGGTAAAATCAAGTCACCAGGTTTACAATATGTTATGTAAGGTAAGACATATGCGAAAGATTGTTCATCTTAAGAAGGGAAGAAAGAAAGACGAGCATCGTGGTCCTTACCTATAACTATCGCCTCCCATATTTGTCCCTAATACACCGTACTGTAGAAGCCCTGCATTGTAGCTTCTCAACGCAGATTGTGAGACAAATCAGATCATCTGGAGACGCAAATCCGGGTGCCATGTTGTTGACAGCAAAAGGGATTAAGAAAGTAGACTGCGCCAACAAGAATCTGAAATGGTGTGTGGTAGTACGCTTAAGCGAAGTCACCTGACCCAAAGCTCGCGTTTGGCGACCAGACTACGGACTCTTCAGATAGATACAGCATCCTTCTCAATATCGGATCAAATATGACGAATGAATGAAATGTCTATATTGATAAGAAGGCTATACAGGTGAAGAAAATCGCGCCATCTATATACAAAACGCCATGCTATGACCAAGTCCGTTGCGACGGAACAAATGCATTGAGATCAGACTTCAGCTTCACTTTTACCCTCGACGACTGGAGGCGGTCTGAAACACCAGACCGCAGCTCCGACTAACGCAAATGCTGTGCTCGTCATCATCCAAGCGAGGCCGATCCAGGAACCACCTAGTTCCAGACCCAGCTGGAACACCGTAGTGATGGACAAGCTGGCGATAACGTTACCCACAGCCTGTAGAACTTCAATGATAGTAAACAACCTCGCGGTCTCTTCTTGTTTCACCATTGTCGTGATCAACGACCGAATCAAGTAGAGGAAGCCTGATCCCGCCGTCTGCACAAGGAGACTGGGAACCAACGTGGCAATGGACGGAGACAGCCCGATCCCCAGTGTACCCAGGCAGAGGCAGACAATGCTGACGCGGGCCAGCTGGAGATCCTTCTTGCTCGTGTGCATGCTGCGGAGGAGATGCCGAGAGAGCGCGGGCAGGATAAACAGGAAGAGTGGGATGGTCAGAGCCGGTTTGAAGGAGATGAGAAGATTGGCTTCCGCGATTGTCCATTTGTACCGAGTCGAAATGTACTGGACCAGAAACCAGGACGAGCCTCGGCTCAGCCGGTAGACTAGAAAAGCCGTGAGGAGGAGTATAATCTGCTTGTTGCGAAATATGAAAGAGTAAGGTGTGAGATACTGCCGACTGCGAGAGTACATCCTTCGCAGGAAGGGCCGTTTGCCTGCAGATCGCAAGGTAAAGGGTAATTGATTGCCTTCGACGCTGTCCACATCACAGTCATCAGCGTTTATCCGCCGTTCCTCCTTCTGGGTAGCCCCCTTTTGGTCGCCATTCTCAGACGCCAGGTGGGCGAGTTCCACGCTCGCCGAGCGTTCTGTACGCCGAGCGGACGAAACATGCATGGTTTCAGGGAGTGTGACTGCGCAAAGGACACCAGCCAGCACAATGCCCCAGCCGATCATGAGGGGCAGCCACGGTTCCCACGTCATCATCCATGAACTGACAGCGCTGGAGGCGAAGTCGGCGCCCATACTGACCACCCCGAATCTGAAGAACATCGCAGCCCTGCAGACATCAGCACCACTTTCCTTCACCGAGGGACACGAGACATAGGGTCCTACCTTTCGTCCTCCGCCGTCACATCCGACATCATAGTCCAGATAATCGCAAAGGCAACAACAGGCCCCCCGCCCAACAACCAAGCGAGACAAGACGCCCAAACCGCCCTCAGCGGGAAGATATCCGAATACCACATAACGGCAAACATGATCCCCGAATTGAGTGCAAACGCCGGAATACTCAGACAGATAATCGGCTTCCTCCCGATCCGGTCCGCCAGCAGACCGTACGGAATCGCCAGAAACGCACTCAAAACCCCGTCAAAGAACTCCATGTACCCCTTCACGGCGGCCAGCTCCGTCTGCACCTCTTTGATCTTGCACAGTGACTCAGGGACCTGCCCGTCGGCCGCGATCTGACGCGGGTCATACTCGGCGTAGTACTGCCGGCAGGCGATGGACTCGTAGATGCGAGTCATGGGCCCATTGGCCATCACGATGCCGACCTCGAACGCGAGGATCATAGCAAAGAGGGTAACCATGAACCGAAAGCGGATTCTCTCAATTGCTTGGGCCCCATTGCGCTCGTCGACGTCATCATCGTTATCATCGTCGTCGTTGGCACTGTAGACATGCTTAAGTTCAGCTTCGTCGTCCTGGTCCCCGGTACGACGATTGGAGGTGCTGCTTTCCGGGGAAGAAGCGAGAAACGGGGCGTCCTCGCGGTCGAGAGGATCATGAGCGTCGGTAGCCATGGCTGTGGCGGACCATTGCCTGTAGCAGATGCTCGTTGTTCGTCGTAGCAATTGGTGATGTGCTTCGCTACCCGTAGTCCGTAGCCGTTCTTGTGCGCCGTATATAGAGTGCAATTACGTAGATGACGACCAGGTCGACATTATTTCTAGTCAAATCGGATAGGTGGCAGCCTACAGGTCTGATAATTGACAGGGTCACAGGAGAGTGGAAGCGGGGGCAGAAGCCAGAGAGATCTGGAAGCTGGACGACCGGAAATGGAAATCAGAAATTGTAGTACGATAAGGAGAACAGAGTAAGCCACCGGCCATCCTGACAGAGCTCCACTGCAAGTCGATATACATAGTCCAGTAGTCAAGTGGCCAATAATGCACCTGTAATCAATAGGAGACTGGATGCCCCTTTTGACGCGAATGTTTGAGCCGGACAAGAGAAGTGGATGACGAAGCCCCAGGGAAGCAAGACCATCTCCTATTTCTGACCTAAGGTACCAGTCACCCACCTTTCCAGCTGCAATTCGGTCCGTACATAGCACACTGGTATACTCCTTCCCAGCTTTGCTTCCTTGTCCTGTCTATCGATCTATAGTTTGTAAAGGAATCGAAACATTGACTCCAAATTTTGAATTCCGCACGCGCCACTAGCCAATCAGGCACCCTGCTTTGCCCACACGACTGGACTCAGGGGTCATTTTTAGTGCCCGACCATAGTGGGCCTCAAGCATAAATAGGCACCAATGGGATGCGCTGGAGGACCATCTATAATATTGATCTTGGATATCTGATGAAAAGGGAAATAAGACATCTCTCTGCTCGGGTAGCAGTAATAGCTTATGGTCGAACGAGAAGGAATTTGGAATACTCCGTATATGTCCAATACTACCTCTATACTCTACTGTACCGTGTAAAACAAATGTTAAATGGGTATCCTGTTCCAGTCGTGGTACCTGCCCACAACTTCTTTGCACAGCCCGGCTAATTTTGGCTTCTATCAGGCTGCAGCGTCAACTCCCGGGAACCCCGCCTCCTCATACAGACTTCCCCGCGCTTGTACAATCGCCGATAGCTCCAGGAGAAACTCATACAAGATCACCGTATTCGTCAGGACGTGTCCCAGTGTTGCTGATTCGGATGGATCGTTTACGATCGCGTCCTCTGAGCGGTCTGTATGACCGCCGGCTGGTTCTGTGACGTCCCCAGCCTCATCTGCGTCGCTTCGGGGCCCCTGTGGTTGTGGTCTCACCTGGAAAGGCTCTTCCAGTCGCTTGCGCAGCTCGTCTGCAGCAGATTGCCGGGTCATGGACGATTCCCGGGTAGCGGCAGATAGGACAGAGGGATCCCGCGCCGGTGATCTAGCCGCAGCGCGCTGTGGTGTGGATGCAACGCTCTGAACGTCCAAGGGTCGGGCTGCTCTGCCGCGGGGAGATCCGAATTCAGACCCCACTTGCGCCATTCGTGCAATTGGTTTCTCGGAAGAACCACCTGTGGGAGGTACAGAGGCTTGTCTGGACCGGCTAGGGGATTGCCTGGGATCGTTTTCTTGGTGGAGCAAGTCGCGCCGAGCTGCAATCAGTATATCAAAGTCCGATATGTCCCTGCGCCATCCCTGTATTTGTTGCACGAGTCTGTGTAGGACACAGGTGAGCATGGGTCCGTCAGTGCTGGACCAGCTGGGCTCGTGATAGGCTAGCTGGATTTGTTCCAATAGTTCGAGGGTCGAATCGCTCTCGGTTGTAGACGCGGCGCTGTAATCATATTTCATCGGGTCGACCAGAAGCCACCCATCGAGAGATACAAGATGCGAGGAAGCGATGCTCTTCAGGACTTCTGTCAACGCCAGATTCACTATCACGCTGTTGGTGAAAAATGTGCCTAGGAGTTCCAGCAGTTCCCGCAGGATGGGATCATCTTTTCGCAGTTGTAATGGTCGATCGTCCTCAAACTCATCTTCCGCCGGCAACATACTGATACGCGCCTCCAGTATCCAGGAGGCGTCCTTCAGATAATTCTCAAAAGAATCATTCAGCGTGGGGTCGTGGACAATCGATGTGGCCAAGCCGAGGAGCTGTGCAAGCTCGGCATTTAGTGCACCAACGGTTCGCTGCTTAGCAGGTTGACCTGAA